GCTTCCAGCACACCGCCTCATTCCTCGCCTAACCACATCACCCCTCTTCCCCCCCCGCACTCCCATACTATCTCACAACGCATCATGACGACCTCCACCATCCCCACCCCCCGTCCCACCTATTCCCAAGTCACCTCCGGGGTTTACCTCGCAATGCCACAACTTCCTTTAACTACCTCCTTGACGACAACAGCCAATTCGATTACACCTGCTACGACACTACCCCCGATAACCTCAACTTCAACACCCTCGCCCGGATCGTTTCCCGCGAAGGGAAAATCCCCCGTTCCTTCCGATCCGCCGACATCATGCCCTTCTCCGGCCTTGCCCACGAGGACGTTTTCCTCTTCCTTACCTAGCTCCATAACCCTTTCAATCTCCACCACATGCCCCTTGTCCACTGGCTTCCCATTGCCACCTCCCGCCTCCTCGGCAATGCCGCCAAATGGTGGATGGCCGAACTCAGCAACCGCCGCGCCTCCGGAGGACCGCGTCACTTCGTCCTCCAATGGGCCAACCTTCTCATTGCCACCTTCCGCCCCCAGAAAATCATCGATTATTGCCTCGAAGAATTTTGTCACCTCCGCCAGACCGGTCCCACGGACCGCTTCGTCCAATACATCCGCTCCCTTCGCCATCACCTCCCCACCACCGTCATTCCCGACTTTGCGTTCATCTCCTGCATCAAGCGAGTATGCCACAAAGATCTCGCAACCGCCCTCGCCCACGAACCCGACATGCCCCTTGCTGACCTCCTCTCTTGCATGCTTTACCACGATCGACTCCTCCACCCCCATCACCAGTCCGCGCCCGCTCCTTTCCGCCGCCGCTTCTTCCATAACATCAATCCTGATTCTTCCATAACATCAATCCTGATTCTTCCATAACATCAACCCTGATGACACCACTCCACCCACCCCCGATGACGACTTCGACACTGCCTCTCTCGACCCCTCCCAATTCACCATTGAGGACCTCCAGGCCGCCCACCTTATGCGGATGGAACGCCAGGATCGTGCCTCCCGACCGCCTTCTTCCTCTCCAGAAACTTACACCCGCAGAACGCATATACCTCCAGGAACACAACGGGTGTTTTCGCTGCCGCCAGTTAGGTCACCAACAGACCAACTGCCCCAACACTAGCCGCTTTACTTGACAGGCCCCTCGCTCTGGAGGACCCACCCCTTCTACTCCCACTTCTTCCTCCACCGCGACAGTCGGGCCCTCCTCCACCTAAACGCTGTCCCCCTGTCCCTTGCAATCCTCCCCCGACATCGACCACTTGTCTGCCGGCTCTCCCATCGGTGATGATCTCTCCTCCACCGGTGGCCCACTTGGCATCGACTATCCGTCTGCCTACCCCCCCTCCGATGACGCACATCCCATCGAACGACCCCCAGGCGACGCAGTCTACTCCGCCTGCCCTCCTCCCTACGACGTCTGTTATCCCGTCGGTCGAGCTTCCCACTACCACCTGCTCTTCTACTCTCATCCCTAACCCCTTCTCTACCACCTTCTCCGATTTCGTTGAGGAACAAGCACGACACGATCGGCTTGTTAGATTAGGCTTGGAACAACGCCGCCTCAACACCATGATCTCTTCTGCTTGTGTCAGAACCGCACAGTTCTAGCTCAAGTTTATCGTCGTCTCCCTTGGCGCATCGACAGTGAAGTTTCGGGCCCACCTTGATATTAGTGTCACCGGCAACTTCATCACCAAAGCCTGTGTCCGCAAAGTCGGCCTCTCTTCCACCGGCTATGACTCCCCGATCACCATCCGACTAGGGGATAAGGACTCAGCCATCATTGTCGATTGCACTGTCCCTGAGACCCTATGATTGCCGGTCCTCTTCGCAGTCAAGTCTCCTTCGATGTCATGCACCTCATGTGCGGCATCGTCTTGGGGACTCCATGGCTTGACCGTTTCATGCCCTACTCCTTCCACCCCTCCTTCTTCCGACTTACCCGCCCTCATGACTCTCCTCTTGATATCCCTTACCTTCTCCCCCCTTCTACCCCACCCCCTGTCTTCCCTCACCAGTTCCTTCACATATCTCGTGAACACCCCGACTCCGCTTACATTGTCTTGTTATCGACCACGAGCGTCCCGAGGACTTGCTTCCAACGGACAAACCCGACCAAGACCCCCCTTCTGATCCTCACATCACCGCTCTCCTCTCTTAATTCAAGGACGTCTTCCCCGAGTCCTTGCCCGCCGATTTACCTCCCGATCGAGGTGTATCCCACACCATTGATCTCGAGCCTGGCCATTCTCCTCCTTGCCGCCCTCCGTACCAACTCTCCATCCCCGAGGCCGAGGAAATGAAGCGCCAACTCAATGAACTCCTTGAAAAAGGATTCATTAAGCCTAGATCCTCCCCCTTCGGAACCAGTTGTCTATTCGTCAGGAAGAACGACACCGGATCACGATGTGCACAGACTACCGTGCCTTGAACTGGATCACGATCAAGAACAAGTACCCACTCCCCCGGATATTTGAACTTCTTGATCGCCTCCGTGGAGCCAAATATTTCACCAAGATCGACCTCCGCAATGGCTTCCACCAGATCCGTATCCGTGAGGAGGACACCCACAAGACCGCATTCCGCTCTCAGTTCGGGCACTATGAGTTCCTCGTAATGTGTTTCGGACTCGCCAATGCCCCCGCCACATTCCAGTCCACCATGAACCACATCTTCCGTGACCTCCTCGAAGTCTGTGTCGTCGCGTACCTTGATGACATCCTCATCTTTAGCCCTGCCGTTGAGTTCCACCTTCAGCACATTCGCCAAGTCCTCTTGATCCTCCGAGAGCAAAAATTCTACGCCAAACTTAGCAAATGTACGTTTGCCGCTTCGAGCGTCGAATACCTTGGCCACATTGTCTCCGCTGAAGGCATCCGTATGGACCCCTCGAAGGTCACAGCCCTCGTCGAGTACCCCCCGCCCAAGCCCCTCCTCCAACTCCGTTCCTTCCTTGGCCTTGCCAACTATTACCGCCCGTTCATTCGCAACTTTTCCCAGATCTCTTACCCTCTCCACGAACTCACTCGCAAGGACGAATCCTTCAATTGGAACGATCGCCGCCAACACGCTTTCGACTTCCTCAAGCAAACCATCACCACGGCCCCTGTTCTCAAGATCGCCGACCCCACTCTCCATTTCTATGTCAACACTGATACCTCTGACTTCGCCATTGGAGCCGTACTGTCCCAACATTTCCCCCGCGACACCGCCGAGACCCCCTCCATCAAGGACTCGCCCACTCACTCTGAGGCTCCACCCGGCGAATACCCCATCGCCTTCGCAAGCAAGAAGCTCCTTCCCGCGGAGATGAATTACCCCTCCAACGAGAAGGAACTCCTCGTCGTGATTCACACCCTCACAGTCTGGCGCCCGTACCTCGATGGGCAATACTTCACCATCCGCACTAACAACACCACCGTTTCTTCCGTCCTCACCAAGAAAGACATCACCCCACTCCAAGCTCGATGACTCGACTTCCCTGCCCAATTCACATTCACCATTTGCCACTCACTTGTCAAAAGCAACCGCGTCGCCGACGCCCTTTCTCGCTGCCCCAACCACAAGCCTCCCGAGAAGGTCTACGCCACCATGACTCACATTCAACTCCTCCCATCACTCCATCGCCGTTACACCCAAGGCTACCTCTCTTGCTTAGACTTCGCCTCTATGTACAACAAGCTTCGCAACCTCGACTCGGTTCCTGACTACTCCCTCCACGACAACCTCCTCTACATCGACACCAAAGGCAACCGCGGACTTTGCATCCCTGACACACGTGGTCTCCGTACCCAGCTCTTGGCAGAGCACCACGACGCCAAGACCGCAAGTCACCTTGGTTTCCAGAAAACCTTTGACACCATCTCCCGCTGCTTCTATTGGCCTTCTCTACTCGCCGACGTCAAAACATACATTCGCTCATGTCTCATGTGTCAGGCTGTCAATCCCTCGAACCGGGCCAAACCCGGCAAGCTCCAAGCATTGCCCATCCCCACTCACCGGTGGCAGTCCATTTCCATGGACTTCGTGTGCGGTCTCCCTAMGACCGACCGCGGGCATGATTGCATCTACGTCATTGTCTGCCGCTTGACCAAACGCGCCCACTTCATTCCTTGCACCACCTCGCACACCACCAAAGACATTGCCTTACTCTTTTTTGACCATGTTGCACGCCACCACGGCCTCCCCGAGAATATCAACAGCGGTCGCGATCCCCATTTCCTCTCACAGTTCTGGAAACAACTCTTCAACGCCTACGGAACTACACTCAAGTATAGCACTGCATTCCACCCACAGACCGATGGACAAACCGAGAAGATGAACGATACTCTCCAAAGAATCCTACGGAAGTACTGTCGTCCACATCAACACGACTAGGATCAATTGCTCACCGCCGCCGAGATTGCCTACAACAACGTTGTATGTCCTTCCACTGACATGTCTCCATTCTACCTTGACCTTGGCTACCATCCGCGCCTGCCCTCTGATTACCTTCTTCCCTCGCAACTCAACCCCTCCACACCCTGCCCTTCCCTCAATGAATGAGTAGAAACAATGAACCGACTCCTCAGAGAAGCAACCGAAGTCCTTGAAAGAACACAAGAACAACAAGCAAACAAGATTAACAAACACAGACGAGACTTGCAATTCAAAGTAGGGGATAAAGTCTGGCTCTCCGCCAAACGCTTTGAACCTGAATATGGATTGTCAAAGAAACTCTCGAACAAATAGCTCGGACCCTTCCCCATCATTGAAAAAACCTCCGACGTCAATTACACACTCCAACTCCCCCCCGACATGAGCCGCGTCCACCCGGTCTTCCATGTCGAATACTTGAAAGAATATCATGAATCCCCACCCCAATTCGCTGACCGCCCATATCCTAGACCTCCACCTATCATGTTACCCACAGGCCCTGAATTCGTTGTTGAAGCAATCATAGGTCGAAGAACTACTCAGGTATTTGACCACCCGAAACCAATCACTGAATACAAAGTCAAATGGACTGGATACCCCGACGAAGAATCTACATGGGAACCTCTCCCGAATCTCAAGAATGCCATGCAAGTTGTTCGCGCCTATGATCGTGCTACTCCTATGTCCTAGACACCCACGTAACTACAACCCTAAACCTATGTATAAACCTTGCTACAACCTCGCAACCCCATTCTACACACACCCTTGAGCCCAGTTCACCCTCCTCTTGACCCCGATTCCTGATGTCTGATCTGCCCTTGCCCTCGCCTAGCCTTGCCCCATCTGTCCTCTCCACTACCTTGTTTCTCTTGTCCAAGGCTTGTGAACCACTTGACGCCGACAATAAATCTAATGGCTAGCGCACGAGGACGATGGCCTGCTGCCTCACTGTTCATGGAGTTTATGCAGCTGGTTTGGCCACCATGCTGTTTCATCGGTTGGCATCCCGACTCGCGGATTTCCTAGAGCAACAACTTGTGACATGGATCTTTGCATCAGTCTGCGACCTCCTTGCTTCCAGATCAGACCTCATTGCAATTCATGTACCGGACACACCCTAGCACTTGGACTGTGGACATTTGAACTACTGTTACGCTTCTTGGACTTCTACCTGTCGCAGCCGCTGAAGACCGCTTCTACCACCTACTCCAAGGCCTGATCAAGACCGCTGCAGATCTCCTTTCAAGACACTTGGACACTTTGTTCCTACATGAGATTCTGCTTCCAACTCCTTCGGACACACCAGCCCTTGCCTCTTGAACAAACATTTTCATTTTTATTTTTTTCCTAACTTTGACAACCCTGTAGAACATCATTAGCAGATCCCTGTTTCCCTGACCATTGTTCCCCTTACCCACTAGAACATCAATAGAAATTCCTTGTTCCCCTTACCATTGTTTCCCTTACCCACTAGAACATCAATACAAATTCCTTGTTTTCCTGAACATCGTTTCCCCTACCCAGTAGAACATCAATAGAAATCCCCTGTTCCTTGAACATTGCTTAGCTTCCCCTATAGACCCACCCAGTCACATCATACCTTCACCTGTGCAGAACACCAGACAAAATACCCTGTGACTTGCATCACTCCCCTTCTCCTTCTCCGAGCAGTGATCGGCCCCGTCCCGTCCTTCACAACTCTTTTTGTTTCCTTGGCTTTTTGGCAGCCGGTACGTTGCCTTTCAGAGGGAGGGGATAGTGTTACGGACTCCGCCAAGGCTCGATACCTGGTCTATTTTTTTACTGTTTCTGCTGCATCCCATTTTTGGCCTGGCACCCTTTTTTCCAAACCCCTCCTTTGGTACCGTCGGATTTTGGACAACTGGCGCCATGCTGCAATTCGGGCGCCACTTTCAAATACCGCATTTTTCAGTTTTGCCCTCGGGGCTTTTGCGGAAATACCCCTGGTACCGTATGTGTCACCGGTACTTATACCGGCTCCCTGTACAGTACGGGGACCAATCTCGTACCAGTTTTCAGCTGCTGTACTCGTACTCAGTGTGACTTGCTGTTTCGACATTCGAAATCCAAGACCTCGACTTTGTGCCCTTGCCACTATGTTTGCGCCCTCAGTCGTGTCGAGTGAGTGAGTGTGTGTGCGTGCTCTCACTCTCTCCCTCACTCTCTCCTCTCCCTCGACTCTCCCTCAGCCTCGCGCTCGTCACACAGGGAGTAGTGGGCAGATTCCTGTACAACCTTCTTCACTTCCACAATCAGCGGTTGCTGCTACAGGACAACCTCACGTGCAACTGCCTTTTGCAACAATTACCTCTGCAGCAGCAAGTGCCGCAGCAGTGGCCTGTTCCACCGGTTTCTCAACCAATGCAGCTCGCACATAGTTCTGTACAGTCCATGCAGTGGATACCTAAGATACCCTTGTTGAGTCCTAAACCCTTTTTTGGCGATAAAAAGAAGGAAAAGGACCTTGATACCTGGGTGAGTACTGTGCCTACCTATGTGAGGCACAAGCTCACAAGGACCGAGGAAGAGGTTATTGTTGCTGCATCCTTTCTAGAAGGATCTGCAACCAGATGGTTGAATGGAGTAGTACAACAACACGGATACGGTCAGAACACAAGCCTGGACATTGGAGGAGTTTGTACGGATGGTCTACAACAGGTCGCATAACCCTCAAGGGGCTCAGAAGGCCATCGGCTCACTAACCAGTCTAGGATCGAAGAGATACCGGACAGTTCGCGAGGTAACATACGCCATAGAGCGAATGATTGTTGTCCCTGGCGTGCTGTACGAACTGCGGGTACTCATAACTTATTTGCAATGTTTGCCCACATATGTCAAGAATAAGTTGGTCGATGAGGCCTCCATAGATGTGCATAACTTCGCCTTGTTCAACAAGAATGCCCTAGACATAGAGGCTAAGCTTGGGAGTGCCAGCAAGGACTGGTTGATGGAAGGAAGAAGAGGCTTCCTCATGATTGGAGGAAGAAGGGCAAGCGATTGAGATTGACGACTTCTTTGATCTTGGGGAAAAAACAGAGATAGATTGGAGTGGGGAGACTTCAAATGGTGGAGTAGATGCACTCATTAGAGAGAAGGCTAAAGGGGCCGGGAAACAGAAGGTAGGCCAGCCGAAGGGTCAAAGTGACCAAGGACCACCCATATGGGTGAAGCTTGGTCTGGAGTATGAGGTGTGGCGAGACTGTGTTGCATGAGGCACTTATCACAATTGTGGCCAGTATGGGCAAGGACCATTCAGGTATGAAAATCCTAAATGGTCTTGAAGTGGTGAAAACTCCGAAGACCGTGACAGGCTGCATCCTCAAGTGGTGGAGGGTGGTTTTCATGGTCTTCGGACCTTTCACCACTTCAGGACCATTCAGGATTTTCAGACTGCCCAAGACTCTCACTTGACCACTTCAGGACACCCTTCACCACTTCAGGATGCAGCTTGCCTAAACAGGTGGTTTTCGAGGTCTTCGGACCTTTCACCACTTTAGAACCATTCAGGATTTTCAGACTGCCCAAAACTCTCACTTCAGAATTTTCATTCTTGAATTTTCAGCTACCCGATAACCGCTTGTGCCCTCTAGAGGCTGAATTGCGTGCCCAAGAGGAGAAACTCCGCCAACGGGCACAAGCAGTTGAGTCCCTAAAGGCTGAGTTGAAGAGGAAGGAGGAATCTGCCAAGAAGGAAACAAGGAGGAGGGAACTGACAGCTGATGTGAAGAAGGTCAAGACAAGTGGCAGCTCCAGTCGGTACAATAAGGACATAGTTGAATTCGTCCTTTTGCAGGATGAAATTCATCAGT